AAGATCAAAAACCAAAGAGTACTATGTTCACCAACTTTCAAATTTTTCCTTTATGAAGATAATAATAACACTATATATAATAAAATATTCACTCTCTCACACTGATTATATGGCCTCGTGAGAAATAAAAATAGTCATAAATCTCGTCTGTAGGATATGGTTGTCTTCAGCATGTGCTTAAGGATTGGATCATTATAAGATTTTTTTTTTCTTCTTCTTTTTTTGGTTTGGTTCATGTAGTAATATACGGCCAGCTCTGGAATAATGCAATATGGAGGAGCAGGAAAGTGCAGATTGCAGAAACCCCATATGATATGACCCTCTTCATTATTTTGCTTAAGAAAATCTTACAGAATATCTTAGTATATGTGGCAGATAATGGGCGGCCAAGTATAGTACAGGCCCACCGTTTAGACAGCTCATCAACCTTAAGCGACATCTTTTATATAGGCGTGGTATAATGTGTGTGTATATACATGATATAATTCATACATCTACATGTTTTCATTTTTAGTAAATTATTAAGTCATGCTAACGGTTCATGGAGGATTCAAATCATGATTTGAATCAAGAACCATATTTCGTTATAATATTTTTTCTCATAAAAAATACACGCAAATCGAAAAAATTATAATGTCATGATTTTAATCCATGAATTAAACGTGTGCGTATACGTGTGTATATGCATGGTATTGGTATATATGGATGTAAACTGGGATGGGTTTTATATGTGTGCATATACAGATGTATTGAGATGCAGTGGTATTAAACGTGTAATATGTATCATACTATACAAATCCTACGTAAGACTGGTTCATGGGCTCTGAGTCTTGTGACAAATCCCATATTTATGTTGATAGGTATGTTTTTGCGTAGATGTGCGTAAATATGTATATTATACGTGACTATCGGAATATATATATATATATATATATATATATATTTACGTGCATATATATATTGGCAGAAACTATTAATATTGTACAATCTAAGGGCAGCGCAGTGGGGGGCAAGGACAGGCTCAGAATTAGAGGGAAAAAAATACTAACATAATTTAATTTCCACCCATAAAATGATATGTCGTTTATTGAGTGAACAACAACGCACTGCTACGACGTGACCTCTTACTTGCCCGAACAAAAGGTTTCGTTTTTGACATACAAAAACTCGTCGTTTTGACTTCTAAGACAACATGGTGTGTGTGTGTGTGTAATTATCCAAACAACGACATCGTGTTTAACATCTCAAACAACACGTCTTTTTACTAACATAAAGGAGAACTTTTTAAACATAACGTGTCGTTTTTATACTTAACAACGAGTGAAACATTCAAAACTAATGTTCTACATCGTCGTCAATTTTCATAAACGACAAGAATTGCAAATGAAGCAACATGTCGTTTAGGATATCAAACGACATCAAACTTAGACAATATAATACATCTCGTTTCCATGGTTTGAAAGCAAGCTGGCAAGCAAAAAGTTAAATTCCATAAAACTGATGTAAATGGTACCATTAATCCCCTTCATTTTTTTTTTTGAATTACATTTTAAGAGAAATGAGACAAATACTCTTAAAAGTACATGAATCAAGATTTATACTATTTATTTTTTATTAATAACTTTTTTAATCAAATAATTATACTAGTAAAAGGACATTAATTAATAACGAGAGGTAAAAATTACATGGGAAAATTTTACAATTTTCTCTGCATTTTTTGTGCTTTTTTTTTTTAATTTTATGTTTGTTATTTGGAAAATTTGATAGCCTTTTGCATTAATCATTACAGGTCAGTTTGGAATATACATTCAAGTCAGTAACTCTGATTTATTGACGAAAACCTTTATGAAAGAAAATTTTTAAATTTAAATTATTTAAAAGATTAAAAATACTGTAGCAGAACTCAAATTATGAATGCAAATATATCCTCTAAACAATCCCAATATTTCAAAAAGTTGAGAAGCTTGCTCCTCTTTTCACCATTCCATTACAAATAGGGAAAATGAAATCAGCAAAATAGTGTCCAAAATATTAACACTTAGAAACACAACGACACCAAAAAATAAAAGGAGATTCTCTAGAATGCTTAGCGTACCGGTATGTCAAGTTTTTTAATCATTATATTTATATATTTTTTAATTTTTATGTGATTTTATACATATCTGATAGATAAAAAACTTAACTTACCGATATACTAACGTACCAAAGAAAGTCTTAAAAATAAAAATAAAAAGTGACGGCTTAAAATGCATAAAAAATGCGATAATGAATAGTAAACCTATGATTTTCAACCTTCTTAATTAATCCACTAATCGCAGCATCCTTGTCTTCGAGTTCTTTAGTTGCATCCTCCAATTTTTAGATTACAACCTCAATCTTTGCAATGTCTTGGGATTGTTTTTTTTAGTGTAATTTGAGTATAATTTTTTAGTTGAATTTGAGTTATAATTTGAGCTGAAGTTAGAACTTAAATAAAATTGAGTAAAATTAAATAAACTTAAAACTTAAAAGAACGTAAACTTAAATAAAATTAAAACTTAAATTATTTTTTTAAGATTTTTTTAGACAAAAGAACATGCCCTTCATCACTTGATGAAAATTCGAACCTCTTCCATTTTCAATTTCTTTTTAAAAAAAAAAAAAAAAAACTCCTTTTATCTGTAAATGTTAAAGGGCACCACTTATGGGTCTCATGTTACGAGATCTATTTTTTATTTTTTATTGGACGGTGGTGATTACTACTACCGATGCCATTCATCTTAAGATGACTCTACGGGAAGCCACGTAGATACCCAGCAACCAGCTAGAGAATTCCACGGTATCGCTAAGTGGACATGTGTACACATATAACCACCTCTGAAAACCACGAGCTTTCCAGACCTTTCACCACCTTCCTCTTTATTTTTCTCGAACTTTCCTCTTTTCATTTAAATCTCTCTGTAATTTTCTCGGCAACCAAATACTTAGCTGATCCTGAATATGCTCTCTCGTAGACTTCTTCTCCGACGTTGCTGCTCACTTTAACATCTCATCTCTCGCTTCCCGCGCAAAATATTTGAACGCCTCTTTGCTTTGCGTAAGAAACCAAACCATGCTAATCATAAGTTTCAAAGCAAGTCATCTCTCTTGTTTTTTTTTTCCTTGTTTAATAATAATTAACAGTATATCGTCGTTTATTTGACAGATTTGTGGTATTGGGGACTTGGGAAAATGAGCCGAGCAGTTGTGGACTCGAGTGTGTTCAACGGGGACTTGGCGTCAGCGGTGAATCACATCTTCCATTTGCCAGAGACCTTCGAGAAGGTGATTTTTCCTTCTTGCGCTCACGAAACCCGAGAGAACAAAGGTTACTCTACCATTCCTGTCGACATTTTGGACACTCCCAAAGAGTACATATTTTACATGGACGTCCCTGGTTTGTCCAAGTCTGATATTCAGGTACCTACTTTTTCCCTTAATTACTTCTTCAATAATAGCTTAGGCTTTAAGGTTAGATAATTTAACATGGTATCTGAGGGAGCACGGGATGTTATATGCGTGTTTTCAACCGTTTTTAGAAATGTTTTTTAAAAATGAAAATAAAAACGAAACGATTTAGTAAATATTTTAAAAATAAAAACGAAAACGAAAACGGTAGGAATTATTATTATTTTTTTTTATAAGGAAAATGAAAATGCAAACAAAAATCGTAAGAATGATTTTTTGGGAAAGAATTAAAAAATAATTAAAAGTTGTTTTTATTTTTTAATACTTATTAATAATATTATAATATATTTATTAATAAATACGATTTTATTTTTTATTATATTCAAAATAATCTCATGCAATTTTAAAATTAGTCTCAAAACAATTTTATTTTTATTTTTTATTACAAATAAAATTATTTTGCCAAAAGTCCAATACAGGCTAAATAAGGTATTACTATAAAGTATAAACCTTACTTGGTAAAATTCAGATAACATGTATCCAAATTGAATAAATTCCTACTGCTAGAACCTCCATGAACAACAACTACCAGGAAAAAGGAGGAAAAAAACAGGAAAAAACAAATTTAACTCATCTGGGCACAAGCAAAAGCACATACCTAACACATGGATACAAGAATTAGAAGATATTACTTCTACTTTCAATAATTTAAAAAAAAAAAAATGCACATAACTTTCAAGTTCCTCAAACTAAAGCCTACCAATCTTATCCATTTCTTCAGTTCTATAACTTACACTAAGCCGAAACAACATAGTTGTTTGCACAAAAAGCTGAGAAAAAACAAACCCATTTACTAAAAAGCTTCAAAATTGCTTAGAAAGAAACAAAGAAGAAGAAATCACCGGTGTTTTGAAGAGGAGAGAGAGAAAGGCGGGGAATTAGGAGACGACTCAAAGGCAAGCGAGAAGGGGAAGAAACCGTGACAGTTGAAATGGGTCGACTTCGAAATGGAATTGCGAGGCCATGAAAGGTTGGTAGAGCAGTGAGAGCTTGGGGAAGTGGGTTTGAAGAACAGAGAAACGAAACTCTCTGCATTTCTTTTGGTCGTTCCTTCACTCAAGCCAATCACACTAACAACTTACAAGATATCAATAATAATTTGTTTCACGCAAAAATGCTCTTTAAGTCGCTAAAGATAGTTTTAGAGGGAGGAGAATCCAAAGGATAATTGCAGATGATCCAAATGTGTAAAGATTTGACTTTCTTTTTGGGCCCCGCCTCCCCCTCCTTGATATTTTCGTGAGAAGGGTTGATTTCAGGGAGAACAAGATAAATATGCTAAAATTTAAGATAAATTAAAATTAATAGATTAATAGTTTATATAAATTAATAAATAAATTAAATTATTATTTTTATTTATAATTTATTTGATTATGAATTATGATTTAATAAGTTATTATTCATAATTATTTATAATTTATTTAGTTATGAATTATAATTTGATAAGTTATGATTTATTAATTTTTATAATTAAAAATTAACTTACATATTTTTTTAAATTTATATTTGCTTTTTTATATGATGTATCACTCAGAAACTCAAGACGGTACAAATACAAGTAATAAGTTAATTTTCAACACTTCAAAATTGATGGACAAGCATGATTACCAAGCAAATTGAGAGGCAAGGCAAGCAAAATCCCACTCTTTTGAGGTTTTCCCAGCTGTGAATTTCAGGGACAAAGTCCTCCCTTAGGCAGGCTACACTTAACAAGAAAAGGCGATGATTTTGGAGTTAGTCAGATGACTTCTTCCGGCGTGATTTGGACTTCTTAGACTTCTTCTTTGCAGGTTCCTCTTCGGGAGGAACATCCTCATTCAGTAGATGCTCGTAGTCATCTAAGCTAGCGAAGGGAGACACTCCGGACTTGCCAGGCTTTCGCTTTCTTCTCCTTTGTTCAAAACCGTCATCATCTGCATCTCCGATATTGATAATGTCGCTGTCCTCATCGTCATCATCGTTTTCATTTGCAGTAGCATCAAAATCTTCTTCTTCAGCAATATCTGATGGTATGTCCGCATCTTCAGCGTCGCTGACATTACCAACCAACTCTTCATCATCTTCTTCAGCAACTATGTCAAGATCATCATAATCGTAGTCACCATCTGCATTCGTAGAAATATTAGCAGAATCCAACATGTTCTCAATCTCTTCATTGTCGCTTTCATCGTCGCCACCAGCGCCAAATAACTCTTCAGCAGTTTCGTCATCTGCCCCTTTCTTCTTCTTCTTCTTCTGTTTCTTCGAGGAGTTCACTTTATTGACATAGAACTTGTGGAAGACAAGGTCTTCCGGCGGTACATCCTCGTCAGCTAATGACAGAATCTCTGGCCCAATCAAATGGTTGCTCATTTCAAGCTGGAAGAACAAAAAGTTATTCAGAATCATCACACGTTAGACAGCTTGATAATTGGGCATTGCTCAATTCGTTGCTTTGATCTCTAGGAGGAGCACAGACTAGTTTAGAAGAAGACTAAATAGAAATAATAAGCAAATTTTCTTTGTTCAGCTTACCTTCCTGGCAGGTTCAATTTGTGAACCACCGTGCCATGTGCTGGATTTGGGTTTCTTCTCCATAAACTTGTCTAGAAAAGCAGTAAGCGAGAGGTCATTTAATGGATTTCCATCGTAGATAATGTCGCTCCCTTTTAGAAGTCTGTTTGCCATGTTGGAAACTGAGGGGTGCACATGTGAAGCAAGTGCCGTCAGTTCCCACCAGCTTACACGATCGGCGTTGCTGTTTGTCATGAAAAACCGATACGACCAGAAAAATAAGATTAAATTGAAGATGCAAAAGAAAAACACATAGGCAATCGCTAGAAAAGGGATTGCCAATCCTAGATGTTGCACTACCTGCAATCTCTATTTCTAGATCCCTATCCTAAATAGGAGATAGGTACCCAGATAAATATGAGCTGAGCAAAGACCCTATAAGAAAAAAGAGATTCGAAGAGAGAACCCACCAGTAAGACGGTTCTCTATGCTGTGGATCATAGCCTCCGGGCAGTGAAGACTTCTTAGAGGATGCTTGAGATTGCTTCCCACTAGAACCAGACATTGTTTTGGCTTCATTGACGTCTTCTGCATCATCTCTTACAAGAAACTCGTCTGCTTCATCTGAAGCCTCATCTTCAGAGGCAGGGACTGGAGTCTCATCATCATCCTCCGAAGAATCACCATCAGGGGTGGCAGCACCACCATTCTCAACAGGCTCACCATCAGTCTCTTGCTTGCCTGAAGCAGAGCCTGGTCGATCATCAGCCTCTTCCACAATATCTTCAAAATGTTCGTCTTCTTCATCAGCTGACTCACTCTGAAGCACCATTTTCCTGCACAAAGAGCCAGAAGATGATGATAGTAAATAGTTGGAAAAAAAAAGTGAGGTAAAATTCTTACGAGTGACTCAAGTGAGCAGCCTTACCCCAAGTGCGGCCTTGTCTTGAGAACTTCAGAAAGCAAAAAAAGGCATCCACAAGCATATTGAGGTGGCTGCTGAAGGGCTACCTGTTTCAGTTTTTTAAAAAAGAAGTGATTTTGAAGTTCAGAACACCACTTTAAAACAGGTAAATTCTCGTTACCCTCAAATATATTCAATAGTGGTAAGGCAAATAAATGTATTTCTTTTAACGATTAATGGATGTCTAATATGAACAAGGCTATAATAAGACGTAATACGTGTAGATCTAATTAAGAAGTAAAGAACGATGCCCTTCAGGGAAAAAGAAAATCACAGCTAGAACAGTTTTCATAATAACCTGCATCACACGCTTTGCAAAAGCAGCCACACGCTTCAAATTCACATCACTTTTCATTGCTTTGAGGAGGAGTCCAATAAACATTTCCGCCTGCAATGTACAGAATCCTCATTTTCACCAAAATAAAGCATCTGGCTAACTAGTGGAAGCAAGTCGAATTTTACTTGCCTTGGAAGAATTCATCGCAGCAGGGAGCAATAGTTTTGCATACAAGGCTCGATAAAACCTGTCACTGACAACCTGATTCTTAGAGGAGATCTTATAAATAGAAGCAAGATGTCATAAAAAATAAAGGTACATTTTTCTTGAAGGGATGGGAATTTCCAAAACGATGATGGTTTTCTGGGTTGGGTGGGGGGACCCATTTCAAGATCAATTTATATTATACGCCCGTTTGGTTTATAGGTTTGAATAGAAAAGTTTGAGTAGAAATTTAAATTATGTGAGAGAAAATATTGTAGTAAAATGGCTTGAACAGTAGTTTAAACATATAAAACAAACGTGTGGTATATCTGTATTGTATCAGCTAATTAGCTAGAATCATGTAGAAGCCAATTAACTAAACACATAGGCCTCAAAAATATAAAGAAGGGAAGACTTGGTTAGATGTAAAGGTGCCAGACCGTCATATTTGGATGGTCTCTCAAAAGCTCTGACAAATGAAAATCAGCATTGGAAGCACCCTTATTTTCTGGATCTCCTAGCTGTAAGTAATCCAACAAAAAAAGTAAATCAGATATATAGTTGGGCTTATAATTTAAGGGGGAAAAAAAAGTAGCAGTAATTTCCTGATCAGTTCAAAATTCAAATGCCACTTACTTTGTTGACTAAGGCAGAGAGCAATCTGCGCTCTTGCTCTGATTTACTCTTTAGCAGTGTTTCAATAATCTGAATTCCATCATAAAGGTGCATAAATATAGATGAAAATTTTCATGTAAGCAACACAAAAGCTAAATCACAATTATAAGAGAACTAGAAATTCACGACATCTTTTAGATTTTTATCTTCTACCTATACAGTCAATTTCTGTAAAATCATCATCATGCACATCCGGATATGTCTCAAAATACATTATTTAGTTAAATATCAATGATGTTAAATAAAAAGGGAAAAGAATTCATGCTAAGTGGGATGAAGAAAACCGAATAGAAATGCAAAGAGCATATAAACATGGCTAACCTTCACTGCCTTGTTTTTTAGTACAGGCAACATATCTCTTGATGCTTCCTCGAGAGCAAAAATATATCGCTCATACCTGAGACATTAGGTTTACTCGTGAAGACTACAAGTAAAATATCACTTATTAACTAATAAGATTTAAAATACTCCCCACCCTCGAATTTAAAACCACTTAGGGTATGTTTGGTATATATATTCTTTATAGGTCTACTAAAGTGTTTTTCTCTCACAAAAAAATTAAATTTCAAACGTCATAATCACTGGTTTGAACCCATATACCAAATGGGCGCTTAAGCAGCTTTAGTCACGAGGGGAATAACAGGAAGAAGAGCAATTGCAATTACCTCTGTTTCAAGCATTCTTCCCAATACCAAAAGAGCAAGAGGGAGTAACCATCTTTTGTCTCAGGTAGATGATTCAATGGCCGCTGCAACAGGCTCTTAAGCATACGATCAGGCAATAAACTGGAACAAGAAGCTTAAATGGAAAGTCAGTGAAAATACGAAGCTGGAAAAAGAAGCTTAAATATAAAGTCAGTGAAAATACAAAGCTTGATAATTTTTGAGTTGCAGACGCAAGTTATCGACCCTATTTTTTGTCAAGCCTGTGAACTATTATTTGCTGTTCTCTGGTGTTCGGACAAGAGTTTTGTAAGTTTTCGCAATTCATACTTTCTTTGATCTTGGTTTCATTTTTGCCTTTCTTTGGCCTCACAAATGAAGATTTCTTGCTCAAGAGACCATAAAACCATAAGAATTACTGATGCCAACAAAAAAAGCAGGAAAGCGAGAGTGCCGACCTTGAAATAAACAACTCTTTTAGTGCTTCAAAACCAGTCAATGCATGTCGTTTTCCCACTTTCGATGATACCATTCCTGCAGGAAACAACCTGTTGAAATAAAAGCTACCTCAAGGCATTAAAAAAAATAGTAAGGTCCTCTGTTTCCTAATAGACTGCCTATTGAACAGATTGAAGTATGACAATAATTTTTGCGATATTTTCCATCTAACTGTTGTTAACGGATCAAAGAAAACTCAGGAAATGGCATCAGCTAATAACACATTTGCTTCCACTTCTAAAACTAGGCACTTTTTAGCAATAAAAAGAATCCCAAACCGAAAGAAATTAAACCCGGAAAGATAACAAAGATTATAGAATTTACCCAGAAGTGCATCAAGAGACCTCAAATTGGCAACGGGATTGTCTCCAACCAAGACCGAAAACGCCGAGACCTTATCGGTTACCGTCCCCGACCTCTGCGTGGCATACAACATCTTAATGTCCCCACTCTGCCCTCTCGAAGACTCGTAATCCTTAGCGTATTGTGCCATTAATCTCTCTCCAAGCTCTCTCTTTTTCTCCACAAAACTCTTCCACTCATTCAGATTCCTCGCCTCCACCTTCTTCTCCTTCCCAACGACCTTCGTCTCCAATTCCGCTTGATCGGCGTACCAAACTCCAAGCGCGCTGGCCTTCATCAGCGGAAGCTTAGGCATGTTCTTGAATTTCTCGAACCCTAAATGCTTGTCGCCATTGCCGTTATCGAGTGACAGAACAGGTGGTTTAGGCTTGGGCTTCTCGCCAGGTCTGGAATTCCGGTCTCGAGGATTCTGACTCTCCGTCGACTTGGCGGCCGGAGATTGTTTTTGCTTCTTCTGCGGTCTAGTCGGCGGGAGAGGACCGGTTTTGCGAAAATCGACGTCGTTGAAGCCCGAAGAGGGGAGAGAGGAGGACAAACCAAGAGAGGAAGCGAAAGAGGCTACGTCTGTCTTGAGAAGCTCTAGGTCTTCCGGGTCGGTTGAGGATTTCTTTGATTTGGAGACCGCCATTGTTGCAAATGAAAGAATTTGGAAGCTCCGACGGGCAGAGCGGAGAGAAGTTGCGCGAGTCCGATTTCTGGCGACTGTTGTTGGGGCATAAAACCCCTCCTAAGTCCTAGCTTCACTTCGTTCTTCCGTTAGGGTTTAAATGTAATTATAAATTACGGGCCTGAGTCCGGTAGGCTTCAATAGTGGCCCATTATGATGTTAAGACCATTGATGTTTATGGGCCTCTAAGCCCTAACAGTGGCCCATAAATTTATGTTGTATTAATTTTTGAATAGAGCAACATATTTAGAATATTTTACGAAAATAATAAGTAAGTTATCATAATATCTTCTGCAATTATTGCCGATTTGGCCTATTAATATTCAGCATATTTTCATAAAAAAAAAAGAATATATTTTACCTAATTTATAGCATAAATCATAAAAATTATTTTGTTATTATTACGTGATTTTGTTATGCTAAAAATATTTCTAAAATTTTTCACTTATGTAGTGTAATATTTACAAATCTCAACAGATTTTATTTGTCTAATGATTTTCAATTTATAGGAGGACTCCTATAAAAAAAAAGACATATATATATATATATATTCATTTAAGGTTGATAAATAAATTAGAAGCCATTTTTAAGATTTGTTAGAAGCCAAACTTAACAAAATATAATTCAATAGAACGTTTTTACTATAACATTGTTCACCTTTTATTTTTAAAGGAAGTTCACATATGTTTTTAAGTTAGCAATTAGGGTTGTTTAGCACTGAATAAGTTTACAAAAGTCTTTATCACATATGTATCGGGGGATAATAATAATAATTCTTGAATATTATTTAAGCCTAATTTTAAATCCATCTTACATGTCAAAATTATTTTCTAAGTAAGACTATTTTATTTTTTTCATAATGCAGTAAAATATTTTAATTGCATTTATAGGTAAATCCAAATATTCTAATTTTTAAATATTTCTTACAGAGCGTATATTATTATTGCTAAAATAAAATTAGCCAAGAAATGATTTCTAAAAAAAAAAAATTTATTTAAGAGAGAGAAGGTAAATAGGGAAAAAAAGAAAAGAAAAATTGGGTTTTTCGAAACCGCGCCGATATAAATAGGCAAGAAGATCACAGAATTCTCAATTGCGCACTCCTGCGGAACGGAAGCGAAGCAGCAAGCAAAGCAATTCGCAGAGGGCAAAATCCTCGATTTCGATCTTCCTCAGCATTCAATCATGGCGACCCCCAACGCCGTAGCGCCGTCGCGCGAGCTCTCTCAGAAGGAGGCCGACATCCAGATGATGTTGGCGGCCGAAGTTCATCTTGGCACCAAGAACTGCGACTTTCAGATGGAACGTTACGTCTTTAAGCGCAGAAATGATGGTATTTTCTCTTTCGTTTTCTCTCAATTTGTTTTCGTTTATTCTTTTTTTTTTTTTCCTGTGTTCTTCGGTGTCTAGAGTAATGGGTATTAGTTTTTTTCGATTGAAAGGTTAAAGCGGATTTTTGATTCGTTTTTAGGTCAATGGGTTTCGTTGTGGAAGGATTTTGTGTTGATTTATCGGATATCTTGTAGATCTTTGCTATCAATCTTTTGTATATTTTGTTTTACTTGATATTGTTAATGTGGGATCTGAGACTTAGACGGAAAAAAAGATGAAATTACGTGCCTGCTAAAAACGCAATTTTCCTTTAGGTTTCTTTTGTGCATTCTTAGCTAAAATCTCGTCTTTTCTTTTATTGGTTGGTGACTGCAAGTTTATGACTCAATATTTTCTATGCTAACTTGATATGAAAATTTGCTTGTAAATAGGACGCAATATTTACCAAATACTGCTTTTTCTAATTAATAAGAAAACGGGTATTCGACTTGTGACGCATAGGTATTTACATTATCAACCTTGGAAAGACATGGGAAAAGCTCCAGCTTGCAGCCAGGGTTATTGTCGCCATAGAGAACCCGCAGGACATTATTGTCCAGTCTGCCAGGCCATATGGTCAAAGAGCAGTCCTTAAGTTTGCTCAGTACACTGGAGCTCAAGCTATTGCTGGAAGACACACTCCTGGTACGTTTACCAATCAGCTCCAGACATCTTTCAACGAGCCTCGTCTCCTGATTCTCACCGACCCAAGAACGGACCACCAGGTAATTTTTATCTTTTGTTTAGTTTGGTGCATTGTGCATATTCTCTATTAAGTGATTGTTCTGATTGGTAATATTATCTGACATTTATGATTTTGTGTTCAGCCCATCAAGGAAGGTGCTCTCGGAAACATTCCCACTATTGCCTTTTGCGACACTGATTCTCCTATGCGGTATGTCGACATCGGCATCCCTGCGAATAACAAGGGGAAGCACAGCATTGGATGCCTCTTTTGGCTGTTGGCAAGGATGGTTTTGCAGATGCGTGGCACAATTCGTGCTGGGCACAAGTGGGATGTGATGGTATACACTGAATAGATTTATGGTTTATTCAAGAATGCTTTTTGAGTGCAACTTAGCATAGTGTTCGATAGGAGTGTCTTTGACCTAAATTTCCACGGTCTTGTCGTTTGTATCTGCAGGCAGACTTGTTCTTCTATAGGGAGCCTGAGGAGGCAAAGCAACAGGAGGAAGAAGAAGCTGCCATCACGGCGGACCATGGAATTACAGATTTTGGAGCTGCTGGTATCGGTGGCCTTGCCGCTGATCAATGGACTTCCCAAATAGCTGATGCTCCTTGGCCCGCCGCAGAGGCTATTCCTGCAGGTGGCGCTGTCAACTGGGGTGGAGAAGGAGGTTAGTGCTACCCTTTTTTCTTTGCATTACCTAAGTCTGCTTGACACCATGCCAAACCGCATATACTAGGAATTTTCAATTTGGTTTGCCACTAACATCTATGCTGGCACATTGTTTAGCTGCTGCAGCTGTACCTGTGGTTTCCGACGGTTGGGATGTTGCTCAAACACCTACTGGAGTAGATGGTGCTGTTGCCCCTGCTTCTACAGGCTGGGATTAAGAGAAGTCTGGCAGATTAAAAATCTCCATGTCGTTGAAGCCATAGTTGAGTTAGATTATGTTTTTCTTTTAGTTTTTTGTTTTTTTTAATCCATGAGAAAAGTATTGTATTTCCATTTTTGGATATGAATTTTATTTCTTGGTGGCGCGGTTAAATTTTAGACGTTGAGTTTTTGGATGTTTTTTGACTAGAGATTTTTGCAATTATTATCGGAGTCTATACAAAGAGGAAGTTTTCTGATTCTCTGAAACTTGGAAACGGGGTTTTGAAGAAGCTTTGCCAAATTATGTTTGAAGTTTTATTAAACGCTGCGAAGTAAATTACTTTTGGGATTAATAATTAGAATTTTCAGCCATTTTTTGTGTGGATAATGTCACTAACGGGTTATATTACTTTAAGCATATTGAGCTTTAGAAACTGAAAATTGCTTGAGGTGGCGCTTCGTATTAAAGCTTCGGGCTTTCTACTGAATATAACATGGCAAAATTGAAACTTGCTAGTTGCTACATAGTGGAAGAACTTTATGATAGCAAAATCCGTTGTATAGTGGAAGAACGTTAGACGAGACGTCATAGAAAATTATACTATCGATTTCGCAGCAAGAGTTTGACTGGATATGGGCATTGCAAATATCTCCGTATTCTGTTAAAGAAATTAGCCATTGACGTCCACTTTTTATCCGTTTTGGCCGAGGGAATTATGGTAGTAAAAAACGTATTTGCGTCAATTTACTTTAATCTTGAAAAGGTTGTCAAGTGTAGGTTATGGACGTCCGAGGTTGCTAAATTCGCGAAGGGCAACACTCGTTCTTTCTTGTACGATTGAAAACTGGTTAAATGACAAACCCATCTCCACACAACAATCATGGAACAATGACAAAAATGAAAATGAATCTAAAGTAGATATTTGAGAGAACCAAATTCTCACGGTCCTATTTATAGAATATTTACAAAGGTCAAAAACTTCTGAGCTTCGGCCCAGAAGAAGAGGTTAAGTAGAGACTAGAGAGCAACTCAGAGAATTGTAGAATTGTCATCTACGCATTGTATCTACTCTGGTACTCCTAAACAAAGAATGAAGGATCCACGAGTTCAAATCGAACCCACGGAATCTCGCATCAAATGAAGACTGATTTCCACCCTGGAAAGTACTTTTCGGTTGAGTTTTTGATCGATTCCTTTACCATTTATTTGCTGTACAGGAACCCTATCCTTCGGACGGGTTGAATCGGATGATGTAGGAATTATTGTTACAAAGGAATCCTTTAGTTATTTCAACGAAACAGCAAACCTCCTTTACATACCCAGTTTACAAAGCTCTCAGAAAATTCAGCAAAGTCGCCGTCGCGACTGAGCTCGGGTTGCTCCGTTTCCTGCACAATCACAAGTCAAGATTATGAAACTGAAATAAGATAACACAGTAAAATTGTTTCACATAACTTCATTCTTTAAGCAGAATAAAGAGAAGAAAGTGGATTTTAAAATTTCAGTCAAAAAAGAAAGCTTTGTTTACACAAAGTAAGAATTTCTCTTTTACACTCGGGCAAGGGTGAAGGCAACAATTCGACTGCTGAATTTTTCTGATGAAGCGGCAAGATAATAAAACGCTCACCTGTACACTGGAGCCAGTTTTACTTGCAGGTTTAGTAAGTTCAATTTTTAGTCCATCCACAACATTTTCTGATGAAAGGCAGGCGGGAGACCTATTGTCATGTAGAGCAGTAGTCAGTCATTAGCAGTAAATCTTACTCAAAAATCCGTCCGGTCCAAACCAAAAAGTGGAATTAGACATTCAAAATAATGAAACTCCACGAGCCTAGAAGAGAATGAAGAAAATATTTGTGCTTTTAATTAAATTAATCAAAGTGTAGACAACCTAAATGAACTGTGAGATTACCTTTCATATGTTTCTTCTTCACAAGAATTTCCAGACGTAGACAGCCAATCAGAGTCCATAAAACCTGATAAGTTGCATTCCTCATCTTCGTCATAAGAGATCAGATGGCGGTCAAGAGACTGTTCCTCTTGCATCAATCTAAAAAACTGCTTCCGAGACATCGAAGGGAAATACCTACAAAAAGACAGTTCACATATCAGACAAACGAGTTAAAACTACAAAAGATCATACTCCCATAGGCCTCTGATTACTGTACTTGCAGATAGACTCTAGAATTTTAAACTTAAGTAGAAAGCAAAGGAAATATGTTCAATACAGACCCGCAATAAGATAAATCATTCTCGCAAGTTGGAATCACCGGCGTGGAGTCTGAAAGACCTTTTACTCCTTGTGCTTTTTCAGACAAAGGCTGATTGCATCCAACTGTGCTTGCCATAGGCGTGTCACTTTGAATATTGCCATCAGATAGTGATCTTTTAATAAACAACCTACAAAGATAGCAGATTGTTAGAAACTAAAAAGGCCAGGGCTTTCCTTGCAAGTTCTATGTATAGAAAGCTACAATGTTTCTTTTCTTTCTTGCATACTCCTTTCATACTTCAAAGAATCTCTTAAGCCGTCAAGAATTTCTGTGAATATTTGTTTTGGCATTTTTTATTAAATTCATGAGAAGTTGGAATTGGCTGGACAAGATATATAGACTAAGAACAGCTAGAGCCAGGAAGAAAGCTAGAAGCACGGTCCAACAAATGCAATGAGAAGTCGGCAAACAAATTTAAAACTAGATTCAAAACAATTAGCACGGTAAAAACAAACGTTTGCAGTCCAAAGACTTCCTTGAGAGTTGGAAAACTTCTTAGTCTCCATTACAATATCTGGAGACTAAGTCATTCATTGTCCGAAAAAATTCAAAAATATGAAGTGAAAAAATAAAGAACATTTCTACACCTGCAGAAAACAACAACCTAATTGAATACATGGTTGCACGGATCCTCGGCAAAGGTTCCATTAGTTTGACTGATACGAAGGTAACACCAAATTCCATACCTAACATACTTTTCAGCAAAATTAGAATCATGCCTCCCAAAATTATGATGCTGGTCTGAACCCAATTCCCACAGCGCAGGTTTTCCCGGTTGAGGTTGAAAGTGCCCCAGAAATCTGATAACGTCAACAAATACCATATTAGATGAATTTACTTCCCCTTCGTTGCACCTGGTGGCACTTTAGCTGATACCAGAGGTATCAATGGGTTAAAAAATTCAAGGACATGTTTGACTTACACATTAATAGCATTTTGTTTTTCACCATCCCAGTAGGTATTATTACAATACCGTTGAAAAGTTCTAAAAAGCTCTTGTGATTGCGTTGCTGGCTTCCATTGGCCTCTTCTTTCAGAAAATATCTGTTTGGCATCAAGAATTATAAAAAATATATATTTGAGAACGGTTAATGTAACAGAACAAATCTTAAGCTAGGAAAAAACATGAAACATTAAGCAAACAAAATGAAGATAAGTTGGAATTTAAACTTAATATACAATATAAACAATAAATGATAGCTTTCTAAGAAACAATAAATTATATAAGAAAACATTTCCTCAAATTGTCTCCCGACGGATAACCAATAAATTATAAAAACATAACTGCAGCAAAGTATAGAAAAGTCACCTTATTGTGTGCTGCAGAACCACCATATTGAAATGCAAGGATGTCACCCATGGTCTCATAAAGTCTCATTAGTTGATCGGCCAAAGGATTATTGAGATCAATTTTTGGAGAGTTTATAAGTCCCAAAGTATGTAGTTGACTTCCAAGAGCAACTAGCCCGTAGGAATATTGCGCAACATTTGTGCGGTCTAAACAGTCAATACAGTTGGTCCTTAGAACCCCTTTCTGAAACATTAAGGTTTTTTCACTATAATTTCCACTAGCATCAGTATCAACAACGCAACTACCATTGCAAATTTCTATTTCCTGGTTATCAGCATTCTCACTCTGACTGGAAAGGTTCTCTGAAGAGAAGTTAACACTACTCTTTTCCCTGCAGCACACCACAGTAAAAGATTAGTCAGGAAAATGTAGCAACATTAATTCATTGCAACAAGGCCTTCAAGGAGATAATCAAAACAAAATGTAGTGTGCTTCTAGAGTACGCTGACTCTGCCTCAAACACAAGTTACATGTAGAACAGCAGAAAACAAAAATAAAAGGAAATTATGAAATAAGGTGGCGTCTTATGGCTAGAACTTACTCAAAGCAGGGAGCGTTTGAATTTGGGGCGACTTGACAATAGAAGATTCCAGTTAGGCTTAATGCATATTTAGCTATCGTTTCTAGCTGTGCCAACACACTAGTTGCTTTGCTGCAAAAGTACAGATTCTTTAATCTCAATCACATTCTAAAACAACAAACTTATACGCAATAGAAGGGAAAATTAAAAGTACCATCTAGAATGTTTGTGTAAATCCCACTGCAAGAAGCGAATGTGGCGCTCCTTTTTAAAACTTCTATTTATAAATCTAATAGCATTTGCAAACTCTGCACGCAGAATTGTCTCCCTAGGCTTCTTCTCACGCGTCTATTAATCACGACCAATTGTAACAACAGGAAGAGAAAATGAGAGAGTAGAAAACAATGAAAAAGCTAAGGTTGATGAAGTTTAATGTTTGATTCTACAACTAATGCAAAAAATTCACCTTAATCAAATTCAAAATAATTATTGGATTTCCATATCTGTTTACAAGATTCTCAAAATGAAGTCTCGTCGCCTCGTATTTATGGTCCTTTCTTGATACTGAGGCGTGACCAAAAGTACAGAAGTCAGAAAAACATGTAACATACTATCAAAGTAAAATAAATAAATAAATAAATAAAATAAAAGATAGAAAAGGTTTCTAAAGCTCATACGTTGAATATCAGGTCTAACAATTAGAGGTGACGAATCCTGGGACCAGAAAAGGGGAATTGAACCACGAATCTGTACAATAGAACTTATTTGCGTTGGACATCCTTCAGAAGAATTTTCAGACACAATTTGTTCCGTCTCAACATCATTTGCTACTCTACCCTTCTCGTTTACTCCTCTTTTTAAGTATCTGCTCCAGTAAAAGGAAAGTCAAACTATAAATTATGGTCAACAGAACACAGCCTAGAAAACTATGCAGTGTTTCTATATCGTCAATTCAAAACAAGATATTGAAAGCACTAGCCATAGATAGGTAGTAAAATCTCCAGTCAACATGAAATCAGGAAGCACTATCCGAATTTAATCCCATGATCACAAACTCCATTTGTAGGTCCAAATGTGATGGATCACACTGAAGAAGTCAAATGTACTAGATGCATATTATTTAAAGAATATAGCATTAAAAACAATTACAAATACTTTAAGGAGGATGAATGCAGCCAAACCTGGTGCCTGCATAATGCCGTGACCGTCTAGCAATGAGGGTAAACTTGAACTCCTTACCAGATATAGATAAATCAACCTATACAGTGTAAATTAAAATAATAAGTAGCATTCAGAACATTTCTAGTTTTCTGTAGAAAAATGTAATAGCATATCCTGTAAATATTAAGGAATGAACAAAGCTTGTTCCATCACTACCCCGTCAAAAGCTAATTCACTGTAAATATATGTGTGTGGGAGCAATAGTTGAGTTCTTTTTACTTTCTGTGAATCATAAAAGATAGATCACATATTATCCCACATTGGAGAACATCCAAGATGCTAATAGGAAAGATAGCTTATGAGTTACCGGTGCATAGTAATATCAAAACCAAAAACTACTCAATATAAATAGATAAATATACAGGTTGTGGAGAGCTATTAATATTAAAGACATGATATTTCAGCAACTCTCCCCCGTTTATTTGAATCACTGTAAATCTGCCCTATAACTGTTAGGATTAAATTAGTTACGTGTTACCTGTTTAAAGAAGCCATACACTAAGGCAACTGTCCATAAAGTATTCTTGAGATTATTTCGGATTTCACGAGTCAAGAACTCATTCCAAACAAACATTGTTTCATAAACAAAATCTCCTGTCTTATAATCTCTCAAATTCTTTTGAAGACTACGCATGACATGGTATGAGTAGCTAAAATAGAAATCTTTTGTGAGATCCACTGTGCATAGAAGCTTCTTGTATCTAAGTCAACAATGAACAAGAAGACAAAGAGATAAATATTAGCCAAAAAAAAAAAAGAGTTGATTAATCTAACAAAAAGTAGACAAGGGTGCTGAAGCAAGTGTATGAATTGAATTTAAAATGAAGCAAGTGTATGAATTGAATTTAAAATGAAGCAAGTGTATGAATTGAATTAAAATGGAAAGAATAATCTGAAAAAATAGAAAGAAAGCGATTTCCCCCGACAAAACCCTGATAATACCTTGTCTCATTCAACATGTTATTTTTACATCACAACAGCAATGGAGTTTGTCCCTGTAAATTAGCAGGAAATAAACCGAAAATAGCCTATATGAAATATTATTAACAATGAAGGGTCCAGTAATGAAGTAACGAATGGCTTGAGTAAGATCTAGAAGATCTGCTATGCGTTATCTTAGGAAGAATAACTAATATACTAGAAGAACATGAGCCAGTTGAATGGAGAAGCCCACGTCAGTACTTTCACATTTAAGGTGTATCAACAAATATAGTACAAAGTTTACCTCCTCAGCATAAAAGCTGTCTATTGCTGAAAGATGATACGAAACAAAACTATTTGCCTCAAACAATTCAATTCAAACAAAAAGTATTACCACGCCAAGACACAGTTCTAAGTACAATTAAAAAATGTCTAGTTCTAGAGGCTACTTTCTTGTTTCTCAATAAAAGTACCATATACATATTACATTTACATGCAGAATGGACAAAAGACCTGTTCTCATCCTTAGAATAAGGCAACTTTGACCGCACAGTAGAATTTGGTACTGGAATCATCTTGCTCTTAGAAATCCCATAAATTGTATGGCCACAAATTGCTCCGAGCTTCCTTCTTTGAGTGATAATAAGCATGTAATAAGGTCCCAAAAATCTCACAAAGCCTAAAACCAAAAGATAACACATTTAGTCCAAAAATGAAGGAAAAAGAAAAACCATGTTTGTGCAGGTTTGAAACATGCAACAGATCGTACCAATGATTCCATAACAAACTGTGATAAGTTTAAGTCCGCCCACTGGCTTGTTTCCTTCATGTATCCGCCTTAGAAGCTCGTAGCATTCCTGTTCCGAATACGTTGTAGGATCTTCAACAATGTTCAGCTCCGTAGGCTCTGACCTGTCGATTTTCAATACTCGCCAACACGTCCTGCTCTTGTCTCTTCCAATCATATAATAGTTCTGTGAAAACATTGACCAGTTCTTTAGTATTGCACCACAAGTTTCGTAAAAACAATGGACTCAACAATCTTCGTGGAAAAATAGGAAAAAGACCCAAATTTTCTTTACTGCTGGCATAATTTTACACCATGGGATACATTATCCATCTTCAAGTGAAAAATCATCGAAAAGTTAAAAATTTTGGCATTTAAAGGACTATACCACGATCACCTAGAACATTAGATAGAAGAAATTCCAGCAATAAGAGAGAGATATCAATAAACTCTTTTGATGTTTAATTATTTTCTTAAACTAGTTTAATAAAACAAAAAATGAAAAAAAAAAAAAAAAAAAAAACATCTCGATCAAGATTGAGCAGAAAACCATCTAATTTAAACTGTATGAATTTACCAGAAACACGACATGAAAATTGAATATTAGTGTCGAAAATCAATTGGAGTCAGTCATGTCAACACCATCATATTGAGTCACGTCATTACCAAACGATAAAACAAAAACTTCGAATTAAAGCAAAATTAAGGTCATAATTCAAACAGAGCTGAAGCCAAAAAAAAAAAAAAAGACAATCGGAGAACACACGTGAACATAAACAAAAGTACCGAGGGAGTTTCGTAGAGTCTGAATTTCTTCAAATAGAAAAAATTCTGGTCCGTTTGCATATTGAAACAACTATGGAAGTCAAACTTCTGATTCGATTTCTCGTGGAGACGACTATGGAGGTCAGAATCCTGGTTCTGTTTCTCATTGAAACAGCTATGGAGTTCTTCTTCAGACGCCATGATTTCGGATCACCCGAGCCCTCAAGGTGCTCAGGGAGCTTTGCTTCGGAAACTTAATAATAAACAAATTACACAACTCTGTCAAACTCCTCCGTATCTCCAAATCCTGAATCTATATAGACACTGTCTGTGTATCTATACATAAACATATACAAACAACAATGAGAGATTCAGATGACTCAAATCGTGAAAAAACAGGTACACAATATGACAAGAGTTTTGGGAGTGAAAATTATAAAAAGGAGAAAGCCAAAAAGCTCTGAGAATGTCCAGAAAAAAAAATAGAAAAGCTTTTCTTGGCTGTTTGCTTGGTTGCAGAAGAGAGAGATGAGAGAGAGAGGAGAGAGAAGGTTCAGATCGTCGGCCGGGAACCTGAGAGAGGTGAAGGCATCGACAGCTTCAGCTTCCGTAGCCACACGAAAAAATAAAAATAAAAAAAAGAACGAGAATATATGTTTTTTTTTTTCTGATAATTAGAAAATATGTATTTGACTATTTGTGTTGAGGGTGCATTATGATTATGTATTCCAATCATGATTATTCTTTCTAGAAACTTTTTTTAGTTTTTTTCCTAATTGTGATTATCTTGTTTCCTTTTTTTAATTATCCAACATTTTGACTGTATCAAGGAGTCAGTTATTCGGAACGAGTTCGGCGTAGACAAGTTCTAATTAAAAAAAATATCACGTGAAATTGCTCGCAAAAATATAAAATATTAAAAACAATAATTTGTAATAGTAAATTTATAATTTAAACTTTTTTTAAAGGTGTTATAATTTAAAGTTTGGAGTATAATTATTTGAAACAACAACATTTTCTAATAAGCCAATATCCTTCGTCATTGTGAAATTTATCCAACTTTTTTTTAAGGGAAGTAACTCTATTGTTTTTAGGATACTCATCTTAAGTATCTTTTTTTTTTTTTTTTTTTGAGAATTCACATTTCTTTTAAGGAAAAAAAAAACCCCCAAATTTATGTTCTCCCTCTCTTTTTTCTCTGTTTTGGGAATTTTCGTTTTTGTCTTTCTATTATTTATTATTTCTCCATTATTGGTACCTTTTCCAATAAATTATTAATTTCCCAAACGCAAGAAAAAAAAAATTATAATAATAGTAGTAAAATCAACTCAGAAATATGGTTCGTGGTGAGTGGGAATATGCTAATGTGCCTTTTCTTGCACAACTTGCTTTCAAGCGATAATAATTGGTCTTGATCCATTTGAAGTAAGTTATTACATTAAAAAATATTTAGGAAATGGTGGTTGTATATACACACTTTTTTAACTCTTCACTTTCTTCTTAAATTAAAAATTTCTAATTGTAAGGACACTTTTAAATAAAATGACAAAAACAGACAATAGACTTAATTATATAATTAAATTTTATTATGAGAGAAAATTAATGATAAAATGTCATTTTTCTCTTCACACACCCCACATGTTATATTGTCAAATTATAAATTATTTCTATTTCTAAAATCCATTACAAAACTTTAATTTATACCTTTCAATCACTATTCTAAAAAATTATATGGAGGTATGTTAAATTTTCTTTGCTATTTATTGTATGAAGATTGTTTTTTTTTTTACTTTTTGTTTTTCGTTTTTAAGCTAATCATTTTACCTTTCGTTTTTTTTTTTGGGGCTAATTTTGTTTAGAAGAAAAAAGAAGGCTCCATTCTATTACAAAACAAAATATAATAAATAAATAAAATATATAAACAAGATAATATTAAAGTAATAAAATTGATTTATATGTGGGGAAGGTAGTTAGAAGAGAAGGTAGATAGTAAAAAGGGAATGTGGAGAGAAAAGAGGGGGTGTAAATAACATCATTTTTAATAATTTTATAAAAATAGTTAGGTGTAATTTTGAAATAATAAAAGTGTGTAAAAAAATTTAATCATTTGAAAATTTTGTGGAATGTGTAGTTAAAAAAAAAGTGTGAAAAGTGAAAAAAGATGCGTGAATATAACTACTAAAAAAAAGGTGAGATAAGTCTACTGAAATTTTGTGATCCTTATCGATAAGCCTCTTTGTATATATGTTTTGATGCTTAAGATGACGACCAAATCCTTTTTATTGGATTTTTTTTTTCGCTCAAGAAGAATCTGGGATTTTTTTTTTTCGCCTATTTAAAAGAATTCAGTTTGTAACGATAACGACGCAAAAGTTAGCCCGAATTTGAGGTTTAAAATCAGTAAATTATTTTTTTTAATGGAAAAATCAGTAAATTATTTTGCCAACAAAACACATATTACGTCTGAACTCGCCCCCGCCGTAACGGGTGAAGTTATTATTATCATCATTTTTTTTTTAAAAAATGTGTGTATGATGTAGACTTTTTTCTTTTTTTGGTCGGTTGTTTTTGAGAAACAAATCCCTTTTCACTCCAAATGGACCATGAGGCTCGGGACTTCTGCATTTTGACCTATTTTAAAGGGCCATAGTACCAAATTTCACCTTTTTCCTATATTTTGATCATACTCTAGAGGTGCATATAAAATATTTTCATTGTTTTCACCCGTTATGATCCCAGAACCAAATATATTAAAAAAAAAATCCCTTAATCAAATTTGTTTATTATATTTTAAAGATTTTTAATTTGACTTTGTTATTCAAAAAATTGACAAATTGTACCGTACGAAACGTAATATACTAATTGGTGTTATTATCTTTTTTATTTTCCTTCTTATTGGGAAAATAAGAAAAAAAAGGTCATGATTTTAGTCAAAAGAAAACAAAATACCATTATTCAATAGAAAAGGAAGGTGTATTTTATTATAATTTAAAAAAAAAAAAAAAGAAGAAGACAAAATTGATTTTTTTTCTCTCTCTAGAAAGAAAGAGCGATAAACCACGTGTTTGCTACAAGGTTCTTTGGAGGTAGAAAAGGAATATAGTCTAAGGCCATTTATAAAAAAGAAAGGAAAATGATTGAAGCACCCACGTTAAAGCTACCTAGTTGACCCTCATAATATAGATGGTGCGGTCAATGATAAGGTTTATAATTTCATAAGTGATCAAAGTTTTTTTTTTTTTGACTAGGTATGATCAAAGGTATTTGTACGTGAAAGCCAAGCATTTAAAAAAAAAATAGCTTTTTAGGGAAAAAAAAAGAAAAAAAAAACTAGCTTTGCAACAAAGGGGGGAAAAGGAAAGAGTAATATTGGAGGTGAAAAGCTATCTGCGACGCCTGAAATTTATTTTTACGGTGATATTTTTTTTTCTTAATTATTTGTTTCTCTTTTTTCTCTCTGTTTTTTTTTTTTTTCCTTTCCAAAATTCAAATATGCAAAAGCAAGTTTAATTGAATTTTAAAGCTTACGTGGCTACGCCTAAATAAATTTATGAACATCATAATTAATATAGTTTATCCTTTATTTAATTAATTCATGTATAAAATTATTAAAAAGAAATTTTAGTTAGGCGCAATGAATGCTATTGATTTTTTCTTATATATATATATGTATGTAAAACATTATGTTAACTGTAAAAATTTAAGACTCAAATGGCTCCGGCAATATGTCCATCATCTAATGTGTAATCACGAAATTCATAATTAAATACAGTCATAATCTTATTGCAATTTGCAATCCGTGCGCCTATATATTTGTCGTCTGAAAAAGGAAAAAGAAAAAAAAAATAACTATTGTAATTTTGCTAAGAAATTCTATCATGCATATAAGGTCTCGTCTCATAAAATATGCATCACTTAATTTAAAATGTACAAGACCCTACCGATAATACATGTTTATAATTACTGAATCTTATTAAAATAATATTAAAATGAAAGATTATGTAATGATAAAATATGATCTAGATTTATAATTTAACAGTTAAAAATAGAAAATAATGGCGGCAGATAATTAGTTTGCTCGCCAAAAAATAAAAAAACTAATAAGGCATAATTCAACCTACCAAATATGAATGACTTTGGTTAGGGGGTGGACAACCCATTACACATGAATTTATACGCAAATATGGGTTAGCTGGATCCACCGTGACCACTTCCAAATGCGTTTTTGGAACTTTTAAAACTTACCTGTAAATCCTTTTAAAAAGTTTTTTTTTTTTTTTCTAGCCGAAAGGCCAAGGAATAATCATGTCCACAGGATTACAATTACAATGGTGTGATCTACGGTTGAGAAAAGATTCTAGTGGGAACTGGCAACTGGGAATGACTGCGTCAAACGTGGCAAGATCTTAGGTGGAGATAGCTGGCGGAGTGACGTGGCACCATTATATTATTATATTATAGACGATATATACATATGGAGACGTTTCATCTGAACCACGTGAAAATGTGTTTCGCCACTTCGTTCGCGGTGAGATTTGATAGCGACCCCACGTGTCTTGTTTGCCGTTAGTCAAAGCAATCATTTAGCAATTTAGAGGACCAAATCAAGAGCGAGCCAACTGTACTCGCGAAGTGCACGCAAGTCGAAAGTACTTGCTTTCTTTTGCTGACACGTGTTATGTAACTTTCTTTTGCGAAAACGGCGGAGATTAGTAGAAATTTCTAACCTAAAAGAGTTAATCACATGTTAAATATTTGACGTCATCATCACACATTAGTTTTAGAGATTTTATTTTATTTTAATTTTAGGCACCGCTGATTTGAGTTTTGCTACAGTAAAAAGCTCTTATAAACAATCATTTCTAACTTTTTTACTACAATAAAAAGCTCTCACATAAAATCACATCTAAACTCAAATTAAAAACTCGAATTAACGAACTCAATGGGCCCTTAGTCATTCTGTTAATTTAATATTAAATATTTGATGAAATTTATAAAAATTATCGACTAAAATTCAAAACATATAAAATTTAAAAACTAAAACAATATAGAAAATTAAAAGAATTTTCACAAATAGATTCAAAATTTTAGATGTTTCTAATCTTAAATTTTAATGTACATATTCTATCAAATTTTAGTACTTAATTGATGAAATGACCAAAATTGAAACATAATAAAACTTTAAAGACCATCTGTGACGTTTGAAAAGTCAGGAACTAAAGTGAAATTGAGTGTAAACCTCATAGACTATTTGTGAAATTAACCATTTTATTTATTATTATTATTTTACTTTTGATAAAATGTTATTGTGTGTTCTTTTTAAAACTCAAACTTTTTATGTGAGAGAAAACATGTAAATAAAAAAGTTAAATTTAAATTTTTATAAGAGAAAACATTGTAACAAAAAAAATTTGAGTTGTAATTTGAGTTATGAAAAAAAAAAACAATACGTAAATTGCCATTAAATTATGTCGTTATGTGAACACAAACTTTAAAACATATTTTTTTACCTCAATATATATTACGTTTTTAAATTCATCCTCATAACTTTGAGTGCGCTATTTTTGAACATATTTATAATGCACTAGGCACGTAAAGAGAGCAAATTGGTCAATTTGTTTAGGACAATTAACTAACTCAATTGTATCA